TTTCTCTCGTTCCCAACCGTTCGCATCTAAGTACTGCTCCGATTTCCATAATTTCCAATTTCTGCGGCTATCACACGCGGCGCAAGTGGGGTGGGGTGGGGGGGGAGTGGAGGAGTGGAGGAGGTGGGGGGTAGTGAGGAGGTGGGGGGAGTGGAGGAGGTGGGGGGGGGGGTTAAGGCTCGTCCCGGCCGCACATATCGCCGATGGTCCGCCCGATCATGTTACCAGCCCCCCCCCCCCCCTTCGCCGGTCGTTGGACGGAGGACATCGGAATACATCGCGGAGTTACTTCTCCACGTTGAAACGCTCGGATTTGTGGGTGATTTTTCAGGAATGAATTGGTGATTTTTTTTTTTTGTGTCTGTGTTTCCGGTGCCATTCCTCTTGACGTGGCAAGAATATATAATAATAATAATAATAATAATAATAATAATAATAATAATAATAATAATTAATAATAATATAATAATGATAATAATAAACCTTATAACTACGTATCTTTAAAAATCCCAAAATATTCCGCCATCTCCCACTACCACACAGCCACACGGTACCACAGCTTCCCTCTCTACCCGGATTCCAAATGTGAAAAGGCTGGGGAGGGACCGGCAGAAGGGGGGGGGAGGGCAAGACGAGGGAGAGAAGAGGGAGAGGGAGAGGGAGAGGGGAGAGGGAGAGGGAGATGGAGAGGGGAAGGGGGGGGGTGACCCGTGTCCAGTCCGAATAGGCCCAATGACCAATTAATGTAGGATTACTGGAATGTTGCGCCAATGGTTAGAGGATGACGAAGCACAGTGGGGGTGAAAGGGGGGGGGAGGGATAAAGAGAGAGAGAGAGAGAGAGAGAGAGAGAGAGAGAGAGAGAGAGAGAGAGAGAGAGAGAGAGAGAGAGAGAGAGAGAGAGAGAGAGGAGAGAGAGAAGAAGAAAGGGAGAAAGAGAGAAAGAGAGAAAGAGTGAAAGAGAGAAAAGAGAGAGAGAGGAGAGAGAGAAAAGAGAGAGAGAGAGAGAGAAAGAGAGAGAAGAGAGAGAGAGAGAGAGAGAGAGAGAGAGAGAGAGAGAGAGAGAAAGAGAGAAAAGAGAGAAAGAGAGAAAGAGAAAGAAAGAAAGAAAGAAAGAAAGAAAGACAGAGAGAGAGAGACGGAGCCAAAGAAAAAGAGAGAAATAAAGGGAAATATGTAATAAGAGGCAGGGGAAAATGGGGGAAAGTGCTACATGTGTAATGGGATTTATTAGCGGTTATCGCTGCACTGACCGGCTGTTTCCTCCGGATGATGAAAGGAAAAAGGGAAATATCGAACCTTGGCAATAAGTTGCTTTACTGATTTATTTATCTCGAACAACCGCTCGCTTCAGTATTTTCACATGACAGAAGCCTCCAACTTGCCACGTCAATAATGCTCGATTTTAATTTCATTCTCTCTCTCTCTCTCTCTTTACCTCTTTTAACTCGAAAGAGAGGAAGAAAGAACGAGAGAAAGAAAACAAAGCAAAATGCGAAGCACTTACGGTACCCGACATTAAAAAAAAAGTTATAGCCAATTTGGTGTTATCATCGGAGGAGTGACTCGCATAAAGTGGCACGCGGTAAGGCACCCGGAAAGCATCCTGTCTTGCTCACACATCCGCCGCGTCATGCAAGCTCGTCCTGGCATGAAACCCGAGGAGAATGTATAGCAAAATCCGAAGCCGCCCGTATTTACACGCAGGCATCCCAACACGGTAGCAACATCCTGCGCGCGAGCTTGACTGCGTGACATCAGGCTTCGACACACATCCGGATGAGGGGCTTAAGGTCTCTCGTGCTTGGTATGTAACGCGTCTATGCCCTCCCCCCCTCCCCCACCCCCCACCCCCAAGAAGTATGCACCAGAGAAAAAAAGAACAATTCTTATCGCAAACAGGAAAAGGAGACTAAATATCGCAAGATAATGTCACATTCATGCATACTCGTCCAGGCGCAGGTAGCCATGCACGTCCGCATGCATGGTCATGCACTTATTTCTTCGACCTCTCTTCAGGCTGCGCACATACTTGAGAAAATACACACATAGATGCACGCGCGGAAAACATCACACAACCTCGTGTGTACATAAATATACTTAAATAAAAGACAACGTATATAGACGCACGCACACATCAGCGCAAAACAAACATACGCAAAAGGACACGCACACACACACGAAGGTCCATCAGGCTGTCTCGCCTCCTGAGCAGAAATCATATTTACATCGTCGTAAGTTTGTGTTTACGGTGACGTCACAATAAGCGCCCGATCGTGGCGTCGCCCTCATTGGCCGAGGAACCTGAAGGCCATTAATAGTTGCGGCTTCAGCCACCAGAGGCCACCGCTGCCTTCGCTTGAGAAAGAGGGAAGGGGGGGGAGGGGGAGATGAAAAGGGAAGAGGGGGGGGGGTTCGCGTCGCTTATCCGGCCATATTTTGCACTTACTCGGCCGTTTCCGTCGCTGAGTGTCAGTGCTATCGGCGTGGCCATCAGCGGACCACCCGGCCGCCATTCTCACGCTGTCAGAAGGGGATGATGACCCCCGGTGACGTCACGCGTGAAACCTTGGCTCAGGTCATGGAGGTCAAAGCCGGGACGCGCAAAGGGGGAGGCGATAAGAACTAAAAGGCTGTAGAACAA